GAATAAAATCACACCAAATTAAAGTGTCACAATAAAACACATTTTCAGCAGATTTTTACAAAATAAAAGCCCAAAGCTGAAAGTGTCACAGTGAGGTCACAGGGCCTCGCTTACCTGCAGGTTGCTGTTGCTGCGGCGCGGGCTGCACCTGCGTTTGCTCAGGTTACACCTGGACGAGCAGTCGAAGAAGTTGCAGTCGTCGTCGCTGCTGCAGTTCTGTTCCAGGATGTCCCTCATCTTCGGCTCGAAGAACGCCATGTCCACGTCGATCGCCACCACCTGCAGGACACACCAGAGGACACCCGCCCTGTGTGAGCCCATCCTGCAGGATCATCCACACCTTATGTTTGGTGCAAAACATGACACACAGCCTGGATGTGCTCACGCCACCTCAGCACACTACATAAATAAAAAACGTCCCACAAGACGAGCTCAGATCTGCCTGAAATTCTGCCCTCGAGCTCAGAAAGCTTCAGGCGCTGCGGCTCTATGAACACGGACTCTGTGGGCTGAACACAAACACAGTGATGCCTGAAGTTCAAATATTTGGATGTGTGAGCTGATACGGCAGATTTGGAGCTCTGTGGAAACAAAAAACTGAAGTGAAATCCTGTAACAACCTGAGACTGATGCACAGAAAGTGTTTCAAAGCTCAGCCTGAAAGGAATCAATTAAATCAACAAAGTTTTTATAATAACAGAAAATAGGTGGTGTTAGGGTTACACACAGTGAAGTGGGTTCATTTAAATGTTTACACATCATGAAATTATTGTAACATTTTAAACTAATCAGAATTTTAATTTGCTACAAAAGAGACGAGAATCCAATAAAAATGAGCCACTGACAATAAACTCCACTAAATTCCATCCAGTTTTTAGGACATGGAATCAAAATAAAAGAAAGCTTCTGAGAAAAAACTACAAAAAGACTCTTTTCGTCTTTATTATTTATTATTGATCAGACTTTTGCAGCTGATCAAACACACAAACCCACACTTGTGCAATAAGACTGCTATATGTGCAATTCTTCTGACGAAGTTGTATTTTTGTATTTTCCTACTCAGTTGTATGTTTGTATTTCTATTTTATTCTATTGTATATAGATAGAATAATTTTATTGTTGACTTACAAAGCCCTGAATTGACAGGCTCCCGGGTATTTATCTGAACTCCTGCAGACTTATACCCCCTTTAGATCTCTTAGATCAAGTGATCTTTTGCTTTTAGCCGTACCAAGGTCGAGGCTGGTTCATAGAGGCGATCGAGCATTTGCAGTCGTAGCTGTGGAATAATTTAGCCCTACACATCAGACAGGCTCCCACTGTCAATCTTTTTAAATCTTATCTTAAAACGCATTTTTATTTACTGGCTTTTAATACAGCATGAGAGTTATTTGTCAATTCGTATTTGGTGTTTTAATACTCTAAGTTGTTTTATCATGTATGTTGTATTCTTGTACAGCACTTTGGTCAACGCTCTTGTTGTAATTAAATGTGCTATATAAATAATTAAACTATGAACTATATAGTATTTGTATTTCTATTTTATTCTATTGTATATATTATTCTATTCTATTTTATTCTATTGTATTTTATTGCATTCCAGTGTTTTCTAATTTCTGCTACATAACTTTGCACTTTTGCTGTAACAAAACAAATTTCCCACCTGTGGCACTAATAAAGGTCATCTTATCTTATTCATATGAGACGTTACAGAGATTCTCTTGTGGAGGAAAAGTGAAAGGAGCGAAATGTCCCCCAGCAATAAAATATGAAAACATGTTTTTCAGACTTTAAAATCAATCAGACGAGTGATAAAAATCTCACACAGTTTAAATGTGTGTGCGCCTCACTCCACCGTTCACGTTTCCTGCAATGAGTGTTTTTCGTGCACATTCACGACTTCATCGTCTCAAACTCTTTCTCTCCCGAGCTCGTGAGATTTTTATATTTATGACGTCAAACTGAAGTTTGGTTTTCTTGGAGTAATAATCTGCTGGTCTGAATCATTTAAATCAGCCCTGACGCAGGACAGACGCACTGACAGGGCGCTCGTTTGTTTTTGGCCCGACAGAGATGAAGATCTTCCACAGGCAGTTTCATTTTTTACAAACAGCTTTGATCATCTGGAACTATTTTCTGCGGTGGATTAATCGTCACGCCGTGCTGTGTGTGTGGATTATGTTACCAGTTTGTAAGCAGCAGCTTGTCTCTGTGGCTCAGAGCCTGGCGGTGCTCGGGAGGTCCGCTGGAAATAATCTGCAGATAAAAATCTCTTTAACGAGATGAAATGAGTCCACTCACACCTGGAGTGAACGAGCGCAGGCTGCACGGTGGTTTTACGGCGCTGGCGTTATTAAGTGAGGGCAGTTAAACATGTTCCATGTCAGCACTTTGACAGGAAAAACATTAATCCTGCGAAGCCGGGAGAACAATTGCGAGCCTCTGCTTTACTTGACTTTTGTTGGCGCTACAAACGCCTCATTTTTTCCCTTTAACTGCTCATTTTCCAGCGATCAGGGGGCCGAACAATGAGAGATAAAATAGCTTAGGCTGAGCTGTGATTGTTGGCTGGAGTCCAGCGCCGACCTGAAGTGCTGCTGATTTAACGACAAACCATAAAAGCTTCAGATAACGCTGAGAAAACAAACCCTGCTCGGCTCCCTTCATCCCCGGCTCTGATTTATGACCGCAGGAAAAACACCAAAGTCCACTTCTCATTCTAGAGTAAGCAAGCTTACACTTTTAATTTTAACATTACAGATATTAATAAAGACGGATGAGAAGTTTGATCACGGGGTGATTAATGGGGACTTGGAGATGAGGACGTCTGGCTCCAGCTCATGGAAAACTTTATTTTTAGTCTTTCGTGTGACTGATGGGCCGACGATCCATCAGAGGTGACAGGAGAACGAGAACAAAGATGCTGAGATTATTGCATCTTTCTCAGAGTTCAGGGATCTTGTTGGGTTTGAGGGTTAAATGAATGAACAATCATCAAAAATCATCAACAGTCCAAAAACTCCACCCTCCAAGGTCTCCGTGTCCTCGTTCATATCTGGACTGCTTCCAGGCTGGTGCCCGTTCCTGGAAATCCGCTCTGATCCTTTTCCCTCTGTGAGGCTGTGAGGCCTTCACTCAGGCAAAGCCATGACCTGGTGTCCGTCAAGTTGCAGGGCGGTAAATCTCAGCCTTCATACAGGAACAGACTGCCGCACACTGTGCTCCAAAATCATCAGCCTGCCTGTCAGAACTCCGGCAGGTTTTCAGCCAACAGGCCCTCAGACAGGCAGCCAAAATCATCAACAACCCCTCTCACATTCCCCTCTGGGCGACGCCTCTGCTGCATTTCCTGCAGGACTGAGGAGGAGCGCCACCTTTGTCCCCAAAGCAGCTCTGCTTTTTAACTCCAGCCGATAAGAACATTTACCACACCAGAAACATAACTTTCAGTCACTTTTGTGTATATACTGTATATTCTGTGCATCTTAATTGCCCCTTGGGGATAAATAAAGTCTTTCTGATTCTGATTCTGCGTGAACGTCCTCACAAAGACAGAGGTACCCAGGTGTGTGTTTGCACAATGACCTTCTCTCCCCAGCAGCAGCGTCACATCTTCTTCCTTTAGCTAAAAAAATATCTGTTCAAGAAAAACCTCACGTAATCCGCCGTCCAGCATCTGATTTCCATCTTTGCTCTAATAGCTTTCTAAAACAGCGTCCCTTTTATCTCTTTTCTCCCAGCTCCCTGCTCTGCTTTCATCCTTCTTACGTTCATTATATCCTCAGCCAGCATTAAGGCCATTCAGCCCTCATCCGTGGTGAGTCACTGCGAGGACAAAGCAGAGCGAGCGTGTTCAAAGTCACACCCGAGGACTTACCGTGAGGTCCTTCCTGATGGCAAAGTTCTCCGGTTTGATGTCGCAGAGGTGTAGCTTGTGGGTGAAGTCATTGTCAAAGTGCCACACCATGTCCAGGAAGCTCAGCGCGATGCGGTGCATCATCTCTCGGGCCGTCCACCTGGCTCGGTCTCCGCCTTCACCCTGATCCTGACCCTCAGAAATGGCCACGTCATGCAGGGAAAAGATGTTCTGGTCCCAGGCGTGCCCGGCTGAGAGGTACTCCACAGCGTAGAAGTGACCACAGGAGCCCAGCACCTTGGCCACGTGGGTGCTGAGGTCCTGCAGGACTCTGGAGACCAGAGGGAACAGAAAGCAGATACATTGAGGCCAAAGTGATGTCACAGGAAGTCATCATCAGGACAAACATGGAGACAATGAGCTGAAAACTGCTGTGTTTTTACTCAGAAGAAGGTTTAAGCTCCAGAGAAGAGCCAGTACTGGAGCTGTTACACTGATCTGTGGACCAGACTCTACCAGAGATATTATGAAGTCTTTCTTCATAACTAAACTCTGAGGTGTTCTGGCAGTATCGGGGTCATTCCTAAATCCCAGTTCTTTTGATTTATATATATTATGTTTGTTCCATCATTTATCTGTGAGCGCCACGCTACGTTCTCAGTTTGTGTTTGTGATGGACACATGGATGGACAGATGTTGGTTGGATGGATGGATGGATAGATTAATGGATGGATGGATGGACACGTGGATGGACAGATGTTGGATGGATGGATGGATGGATGGATGGACACATGGATGGACAGATGTTGGTTGGATGGATGGATGGATGTTGGTTGGATGGATGGATGGATAGATTAATGGATGGATGGATGGATGGACACATGGATGGAC